TGCTCCAGTAGCCTTTATGGACCTGATGAATCAGGTATTTCATCCGTACCTCGACAGGTTCGTTATTATCTACATTGATGATATTTTGGTATATTCTAAATCTAAGGCAGAGCATACTAGACATCTCACTTTAGTTTTAAAGAAGTTGAGAGAACATCGGCTATATGCTAAGTTTAATAAATGTCAATTATGGCTAGATCAAATGTCGGTTTTAGGACATGTAATTTCAACTCAGGGTATTCTTGTGGACCCTCATAAGGTAGCTGCAGTAGAGAACTGGGAACAACCTCGTATTGTCACGGAAGTACGAAGTTTTCTAGGCCTAGTCGGTTATTATCGACGTTTTGTGAAAGATTTCTCAGCTATAGCCTTGCCATTAACGAGGTTAACCAGAAAAGGAGTTAATTTAGAGTGGAGTGATGATTGTGAGCGAAGTTTTCAATAGCTAAAGTATTGCCTCACTCATGCACCTGTTCTGGAGCTTCCGGATGATAGTGAGGATTTTAAGATTTATAGTGATGCTTCCTTGAATGGATTGGGTTGTGTGTTAATGCAGCATGGCAGGGTAATTGCTTATGCATCGCGACAGTTAAAGCCCCATAAGATGAATTATCTTACTCATGATCTTAAGTTGGCGGCCATTGTTTTTGCTTTGAAGATTTGAAGGCATTATCTTTATGGGGAAAAGTGCAAGATTTTTACTGATCATAAAAGCTTAAAGTACCTTTTCACTTAGAAAGATCTTAATCTCCAGCAACGGAGATGGATAGAATCGTTTAGTGATTACGACTGCACGATTGAGTATCATCCTGGTCGTGGGAACACAGTGGCAGATGCACTTAGCAAAAAATCACACGGCCAAATTAATGTTTTTCATGCATGTCATATTTCTCTTCTCACATAATTAAGATCTACTGGAGTTGATTTGGGAGTGGAGGATCAGGAATAAGCATTACTCGCAAGTTTTCGAGTCAGACCAATCTTGATAGATCGTGTGCTCAAGGCTCAAATGAATGATGAAGAATCTCAGGAATTAATTGAGGCAGTTTCAGAGGGGAAAAAAAAAGACCTCAGGATAAGGATTTTCGATGGTGTGCTGATGCAGGGCGACCGAATGTACGTGCCTAATGTCGAAGAATTAAAGAAAGATATACGTGATGAGATGCATGTTTCAACATATGCGATGCATCCTAGAAGTACCAAGATGTATCACATTATTCGACCTTTCTATTACTGGCCTGGTATGAAAAGTGAGATTGCTGAATATGTGAGTCGTTGTGTAGTTTGTCAACAAGTCAAGGCAGAGATGAAGAAACCTTTTGGGTTATTGTAGCCACTTCCCATACCATAGTGGAAATGGGAAGATATTACCAATGATTTCGTGTACAAGTTACCTCGTATGCGGAATGGTTATAATGGTATTTGGGTGATAGTGGATCGACTCACCAAGTCAGCACTCGTTCGAGAAAATTATTCTTTGAATCAGTTGGTCGAACGGTTTATTTAAGAAATTGTTAAATATCATGGTGTCCTAGTGAGTATTATTTCAGATCGGGACCCCATGTTTACTTCTAAATTTTGGGTAGCTTTCCAGGAAGCTCTCGGTTTGAGATTGCTTTACAGTACGACTTATCACCCTTAGATGGATGGACAATCCGAGAGAACCATTTAGACGTTAGAAGATATGCTGAGATCCTCGATTTTGCAATTTGGAGACGCTTGGCATAAGTGTTTAGTTTTGATCGAGTTTGCTTATAATAACAGTTATTATTCTAGCATCGGCATGTCACCTTTTGAGGCACTTTATGGTAAATCATGTCGTACTCCTTTATGTTGGTCTGAAGTTAGCGATAGAGTGCTAGTGGGCCCTGAGATTGCGGATGAGACTACGCAAAATATTCAGGTGATTAAAGCTAACCTGAAAGCGGCCCAGGATTGACAGAAGAGCATCGCTGATAAGCATGCCACTGACATAGTATATAGAGTTGGAGATTGGGTATTCCTGAAGCTATCATCGTGGAGAGGTATGGTATGGCTCAGTAAGAAAGGTAAATTGAGTCCTCGGAATGTTAAACCGTATCAGATTATTGAGCGAGTTGATGAAGTTGCCTACAGGCTTGAGTATCCAGAGCTATCAAAGGTGCACGATGTTTTTCACGTATCTATGCTTTGTCACTATGTCTCTGATCCATCGCACGTGATCCTTCCTCAACCATTAGAAATTAATCCGGATTTGACTTATGATGAGGAACCAGTGACAATCTTGGATTGGAAAGATAAGGTTCTTCGTATCAAGACTATTCGTATGGTGAAAGTTCTATAAAGGAACCATTCGGTCAAGGAAGCTACCTGGAAAACTGAGGAGCGTATGCGAGATTCATATCCATGTCTGTTTTATAGTTATTGATGTGTTGTTGATGTGTAGAAATTTCGGGGATGAAATTTAATTAAGGGGGTAAACTGTGACGACCCGTCCCGAATTATTGTATATTTTTCTCCTCGAGTGTGTAAAGTGATGATAATGCCCTTGTGGTTTAGTGACATGGATGTACATGTGCAGATTCAAATTATTATTTCCACCATCGTAATTAAATCGTACTCAACGTCACGAGCGCGTTGACGTGAGTTAGGGTTGAATCGGTTTTCTAACGGAAAAGTTACAACAATTAAATATCGAGATTGGGTAGAAATATGTTTTTAGGTTTGCTATACCTTACTCACCAATCACCTTAGCTCTTACAATCTTGAATCTAATCAAAATTGGATTGGTTTTATTTAATTTGGGCCACTTAACATAACTCTCTCTTTCCCTTTCTCACTGTAGCCCAATTAGGGCCTTGTTTCTTTTTCTTGGGGCCAATACGTGACTATGCCCCCCCCCACACACACACGTACCATACCCTCACCCTCTCCTTCTTTCTCGATTCTTCCCCGTCCGTACAACCCGTAGACCACTCACGCAGAAACCCATCAAAACCTTACGGATCAAGCACAAGGATAACATTCTTGTGCTCCTCTTGACTTCACAAACATGGAGGTGTTTTTTTCTTTAAGAAATGACGTGTAGAACTCGAGAGACCCAAGCTCTGGTGAGGGATCTAATTTCCTCCGACCTGATCGCGAGGGATTTAGTTGGTTTTGAGATTCAACAAGGTACTCATCTAACTTCCCTAGCATTTTGGAACAATTTTAGAGTGGTTTGAATGTTGGATCACTCAGGGTCGTGAAGTTCCAGGTTTAGCCTGAGGTTTCGAAGGTTTTTTCTACCACTTTCGGTCGGTTTTAGGACCTAAAATAAGTATGATTGTGTTCTTCTAATTGAGAGTTTCAAATTCATATAAAATTCGTGAAATTTGGTTGAGAAATGAAGTAGTTATAAGCTTTAGAATTTTTTCCAGAAACCGGCGACACAGACGGCGGATTCCGGCGAAGCCAGAAGGAGGAGAATATTCTGTCAACTTTGACGGAATATACTGACTGCATTAGGTAACTTCGTTAGTTTTTAAACTGAATATTCTACTATTTAATGAAATATTCCCTAACGCCGTTAGGGATTCTGTCAGTGTGCCAAGCACGTGCCTGCGTGTGGCCGGTGCGTGAGGGCGCGTGTGACGTCTAAAAATTATTGTGAAAATATGGGGGTGTTCGTGTTATCGAGTAGATCATGTTGGTATATTCAAACATCTTATTTGAGCAACGTATGAAAAGTTATTCCTAAGGTTTGTGTATGTGCTTTAAATTAATGTAAAATTAGTTATTTCGCATATAGGTGAGACGTACCCTGAGGACGAGCATGGACAAGCGAGGCTAGGGGGCTACGATCCTCCTACTTATCAGTGAATGGGCATTTTCTTTATATATATATATATGATATGATTTCCAAAACGTTTTCTTAAAATGATTTATGCTTTGAATGCCATGTCGTAATGAGTTGCACTTTGAGTATTGCACTGTTATACTTGTGAATTATGTTATGTAATGTTGTGGAGACTCAGGTAAGCTTCAGGTGAGTATGATGTGATTGAATGGGTTGTGTTGCATTGGTATGCATATATTTATTTAGAGCTCATCATGGTTGCACCCGGTTTTAGTGCTCCTACCCGGGGATTAGGGCACAGCCTTCACGTGATCGTTCACCTCCCGCACCGCACGCTCACCTTGGATCCAAGTCTGGTGCCAGCCTATCGTACAGTTCACAATAGGTGGTTCCGACTCGTAGGTGACTCGCGATTTATCGCACAACCTTCACGTGGTCGTAGCACTTAAGTGTACATGTTTATACCTAGCCTGTCGTACAGGTCACATTAGGTGACTCCGACTCGTGTGCTAGCCTAGGTTGATGAGCTATAGTCCAGTCGTACAAGTCACATTAAGTGACTTCGACTGGCGTGTTATTCTACATTTATTCTACACCTGGCTTACATGATTTGTACGTTATGACATGGCATATTTTGGGTTTCATTGCTCTTGTGCGTTATTTTATATATATATGTAGTACTATTTTCTGGAAACTATATAGGTTTTATAGTGAGGGGTTATTATGTTCAGAAAAGATAAATGTGTTTTCAAACGTTTTGTTTTTTCCCACTCACCCGTCTGTTTTGCGCTCCTCCAGGTTCTAGGTAGTTGATCGTCTTTGGTGGCTCACGAGGACTTCACGGCGGTTCTGACATATCCATAAATAAGCAGGGATCTGCTCCCTGTTTTGTATAATTAGCACTTAGTTGGTTTGACTGCGCTGTTGGATTGCCTATGGTCTGAATACTTATATTTGGTACTTGACCACTTTCACGCACTTATTTATTATCACAAGTTAGATTAGCTTAGGTTGGTTTTTATTTATTCGCATTTTCTTATTATCGTTTACACTTTTGTTGCGCACTTGGTTACGTCACCCTTACGTGATGGCCAACATGTCTGGACCTGGGTTGGGATGTGTCATGTGCACACCATGCACATGCACAATAGATGAATAGAAATAGGATTTTTTTATACCTTTTCTGATTCCTCTCCTCCCCCTCTCTCTACGTAGTCTACACTCTCTTCTTCCCAACCCGCATTCAATTTCTTCATAAATTACTAACCCTAACCCCTTTCAATATGTGATCTGGGTTTTAAAGTGCGAGAGTTGTACTTGAGTTTGATAGCAGATAGCGATCTGCAAAGTTCAAACCCATTTCCAATTTCTGTGAATGCTCTAGAGTCTGTCTCTCTCTCTCTTATTCTCCGAAGGAAAAAGACAATGGAGTCCACCGTCCTCCTACATGTTGTCATCGGAGGCCCTACAAAGACGCTTATCACCGCTGCCGCCCAAATCACCTTTAGCAATTACTTTCGTTTCCATATGAGTACGTCTCCCGATTCTCTCATAATTCGCTTCTTTTTCCCCAATTCTTACATTTTCCTAACACTAAATTTCATCCTAATCTGATCCAATTTTGTAAGTCTGAGCAATCATGTTTCTGTAAGTATTTGAGTATCTAATTGCGGTGTTTGTTGGTGGTTACTTTTGTTGTTTTCTTAGGAATTTAACATTGAGAAGCTGCATGTGGTTAGAGGCTGAGAAGAGAAGATTAAGCACATGTTTGATAAATTATTTTTTTTTTGGTCAAAAAGAAAAGCATGTGATTTTTGTTACTCAAACTCTCATTCGGCATGTATACTTGTGTTTATTTTAAATATTGATTAGTTTTAATTTTCAGTATTGTAATCAGACTTGTTAATTGCACTTGTGCTTGAACGAGTTGAGGACATAACAGAACAAATTCAATAATACTTTAATTAAGTACAGATTATTCGTTCCGGTGTACCGCATGGTGATTGGCGTGATTATTGTTGTGCTGCATGATTATTCTGAACTTTTAGTTCTTGTGGGTAGAGAATTATGGGTTTTTATTATAAGTGGTCCTTGAACCAGTTTTATGTTTAGATGTGCCTAATCTGTAGTTTAATGAACTTTCTAGACTTGTATTGGTTCTTTATGAGCTGATATGGTTTTCATAATGTTGCATGTTATTGATTTCAGTTCAATAGAAGGAGCATATGGTGTTATAAGAATGCAATATTTACTTTAATAATCTCAATAGTAATAAGGATATGACTTCTGAGTTTGGGGTGCTGCAAATGACTAAAGCTTATAGTTTTCTACTTGTTCCTTACCTCTATGTCATTTGTGATGGACCAACCTTATCAAGTTTTAGGAGTAAAGACCTTCTGACGGTCGTCAAAGATCAACGACCAAGACTTGGTTAGTTTCATATATGTTAGAGCCAATGTTAGTCAAAGAATATGTTAAAGTTTGCTAACTTTGTTTAGCTGAGTTGTCTTCTAGTTAATCTATGTATATCTGAGTATTTAGTCAGTTTTGTAACCATTATTCTCCCGTAATGTAAAAATTATCTATCTATCTAACATGTTTTAACTAGTTGAATTTAATATCAATAACTCGATCATCTCCCATTTAGGGACTGCTACATGGTTCTAATGAAGCATGTCATTTGAAAGAGATTGTTTTAACCAAGGAACCCGAACCCACCAATGCACAGGAGCGTACAAGAGCCTGCTCGTATTCAAAAGGTAAGGGTTGCATATATGTGAAGTGGGATTAAGACTTAGTTGAGTTTATATTGCTTTTTATGTCTGCTACTTTCTTGGGGACTGATGATTTCATTCTTCCTCAAGTCCAGATAATAATGTTTTATTTCCATATAAGATTTCTTGTGCATGTAATTCATGTTTTATTACTTCTAAGTTTAATTGAAACATGTTGTGTTGTCACGTAGGATGACGGTAATGTGAATTCAAATGGACGACTCCAGGGGAGCCTTGAAGTTTCTAGGGCCTATGGAGATTGCTAGTTCAAAAAGGTTCTATTTTCTCTTCTTTAACGCTTTCCCCTCTGGTTATTTGTTTCCTTTGTTTTGAATGTAACATAAAACTTTATAGCTCTATATTGGAAGAGATCAAATCTGTTAAACTTGTGCTATTATTAGTAAATATAGCTCTAAGTTATTATAAATTGGGAATTTTATTTTTAGAAAGAAAGCCTATGTGAATGATTATTTTGTAATTACTAAATATGCTTTAGTTTATTCATCCACTTCTCTGGGGACAAAACCATATTACTTTACTCTGCAAAAGATGGTTGAATTGAATGTTAATGTACTAGATGCTTTGATTGTTTATCTCTGTTTTCCCATTGAATGAATTAACTGCTCAGTAACTTTAGCTGAATGCATCGGTCTGTGACAACCATAAATTATCAACAACTACTAGAATGTTAAGCAATGTAATATAGTTGTTCAATATATTTGCTAACTATTATATGATAATAAACATGAGGACTATGTATCCTTGTTATCTTGAACGCCTACCATGTCCTAAACTACCTTAATGCGAAGAGTTCCAAATATGTAAATACGCACTATATACACTGTATGTATACGACATGCACATGATATGCACACGACATGCATATGATATGCACACTGTTGGGGCCCAATTGTCATGCAAAGCCTACATTCATGTCCAAGCACATGCCAAGGCACGAGATCGACGAAGAATATGTTTACAAGCATGCCATGCTGCAGTGATTAAGCTGGATGTTCACGCCATGCTCATGCCTATTCATCACGCCATGCTTCCTTAGCCACAAATCATGCTAACCCCAAGTCACATACTCAAAGCTTGCCAAGTGGATTGTGATGTGGATGGTTAAGGAAGGTTATCGGGCCTATGTGAAATCAGGGTCATGGAAGACTTTGGGTTGCTTAGGTGCCCAAAGATTGTAGCCCATACCCTTTCTATTCCATGCAGGCGTCATTGAGAGAGAACTAGCCCAATTTATCCCTTTCCCTAGCAAGCTAACCCCCCTAGTTAGGATTAAACTAGATTCTTGCATTAAATCCATGTTAAGCCCAGCAAGTAAGGCATTTAATGCTGACTTTCCCTTCCCAACCTGCAAAGATAGCTAGCGCGCAAAAGCTGTGAAACGTGTTACCAGTTTTAGCGCATGCGGAAGCCACCTCGGGAAAGCCGTGTCTCAGGAAAAAACAATCTGCAGGTCTCAACAATGCATCTAGTTTACACCAAAAGGAGAATAATATGATAGAAAAGGAGGGAAGACCAAGCCACAAAGGGATATTCCCTTGAAATCTAGAAAAGAACCCTTCACCTACATAAGGAGGGGGAGAAGCCATTACAGGGAGGAACACAAAAGGAGAAATAGAGAAAACGCAGTAAGATAGAATCACCCAGGAAGAAGCCCAGAGAGTTCCATTTTAGTCCAAAAGTTTACTCCAAGCCTCAAGCATCACCATTCATGCAACCTTAGCAATTTCCATAGCCTTCTATCAAACATATCAACCATTAGAAGCCTTGCTATCACCCTAGGAAAGGCCAAAACATGCAGTTAAGAATGCCATGCAACCATGCCAACCTTTTCTTTCTTGTAAACTGAATTTTCTAGCTTCCACACCACGCTTCACTTGAGTAAGTCATTATATTGATGTTTTATACTATTTTCGAGTCGTTTATGTTACCAGGGTATTTCGTAAGACAAGTTATCTCTTTCGAGATATCCCAGGACTTGTTGCGAACCCGCACCAGTGGAGACAAGAGGACGTTCTCAAAGTCCAAGTCCACCTCGACCTAAAAGTCACCCAACACACACCATGTGTACTGTTAGGATTTTGGCTCATCAAATATGTCCTAGTTGGTTTAGGATTGTTTTAGGAAACCTAGAGGTATACCGATTCTTGTCCTAGAGGGATTAGGAAAGAATTTCAGTTTCCTTTTTCAATTTAGGTTTGGATTTCTAGAAGTCTATTTGGATTTGGATAGTGTAATTTCCTAGACCACTTAGAAATAGGAATTCAATCAGCCTTAGGACATGTAAGCCAACCCTATGTCTATAAATAGGGTGCGGCAAGGCTGATTTTAAAGAGAGAAAGAAAACAGCCAGACAACCAAGAGTTTTTTAAGATTAGTTCTAGGGTTTGCAAAAGTTCTGTAATCTCTATTATTAATCAAAGGAGCGGTGATCTTCTGCATTCATAACTGGACGTAGGCAAAAGTTCTACCGAACCAGTATAATTCTTGTGTGTTTCTAAGTTCTCTAATATTTGCTAGTTTAGTCTATTGTCGTTGGTTACATTAAAGAATAAGGTCTAGTGTGCGGGTTCTTACAACAATTGGTATCAAGAGCTAGGATTAAGGTGTTCTACGATGTCAAAAGGGAAGATGAATGCAGATCAAGGACCTGCGTTAAAGCCCTTTGACGACAAGGATGACTTCACGGACTGACAAATAATGATGAAGAACGTACTGATACATCAGGATTTGGATGATGCACTCGATGGTGAGAAGCTGGAAAACATGACAGAGGCAGCATGGACTAAGGTTCTCAAGAAGGCCAAGAGTTCCATCGAGATCCATCTCATAAGATCAGTTCGGTCACACATCACCGAAAGAAGCACTGCCTAGGAAGCATGGGAAAAGTTGGAAAATGTTTATATGGGCAAAACCGTGTCCAATAAACTTTTTCTAAAGGATGAACTATTCGGGCTTTGACTAGAAGGAGGTGATATTGAATATCACGTATGCAGGTTCCAAAATTGCATAGCTAATCTTCAGAAGGTCGAAGAAGCTTACAAAGATGATGACATGGCTATCATCTTGCTGAGGTCTCTACCTTCGTCTTTCAAGCACTTTTGAACAACTCTAATGTTTGGAAAATAATCCTTGAAGCTTGAAGACGTAATTCAAGCTCTTCAATCATGCTAAACTGGATGATATAACTGAAAGCTCTCAAGGCCTTTATGCCAAAGGCAAGAAGAGGGGGCGGGAAAAGACAAAGGAAGAGAAAACCGGCAACAGAGGTAGGTCAAAATCCAAGAAGAAAAAGGAAAAGAAGGAAGGTTGCTTCAAATGTGGTTCAACTGATCATTGGAAGAGGAATTGCAAGATTTGGGAAGAGAAGAAAGCCAAGATGGAAGGAAGCTCAGGGTCAGCTAGTGCAGTCACCGAGCATAAGAGCGACGGGGAGCTTCTTTCAGTAACATCGGGTTCCAAGGCTTTCACCAATTGGATTTTGGATACTGCATGCACTTTTCATATGTGTGCAGTAAGAGAATGGTTTGATACTTACAAAGAAGTCAGCAGCGGGGAAGTCTTAATGGGGGACGATTCTTCATGTCATGTAAGAGGAATTGGCACTGTTCGAATTAGAAAGTTCGATGAGATGATACGACCTTTGGGGAACGTCAGGTATGTCCCTAGACTAAGAAAGAATTTGATTTCCTTAGGTACTTTAAATAAGGCCGGTTATGGGTACAAGTTTAAAAAAGGAAGACTCAAGGTAACCAAAGGATCGCCAGTGGTAATGCGGAGTGACCTACAACCCAATAAGTTGTATAAGTTAATTGAGACCACTATAGTTGAGGGAGCAGTTGTTTTTGTAAATCAGAGTGAAGAAGACAAGACTGAACTCTGGCATCATAGGCTCGGGCACATAAGCCAGAAAGGGCTGCAAGAATTACACAAGCAAGGCCTGTTGGAAGGTGTGTCATCTTGCAAACTGGACTTTTGTGAATATTGTGTTCTCAGAAAGCAAAGAAAGGTATCATTCGCAAGTAGTAGTGTAGATAACCGAAGCAAGGAGCAACTCAACTATATTCACTCAGATGTTTGGGGCCCTGCTGTTGGAAGTATGCCCACAAAGCCACTCATTTGATGTAATAGCTTTTTGGAATACTTAATGTATTAAACTTTTATATGTTTAATGAAGGGCAAATCTTATTGTTAATCACTATTTATTGTATCATGTGTTTAAGCAATAAGAGAATCCAAGGAATGTATTTGTTCTAAGAGATAAGTGATCTAAGTGAGTTAGATTATCGAGACCTTTCTCTTATGTTCATTCCTAAAACGTTCCTAGCCATAGGATTGCCAATTGGGCATTGACAATCCGCTAAGGTTAGTATGTGTTGTGTTGACTCAATCGTGAGTATGACTAGTCTCAAGTCATTTGGTGTTGGACACTAAGACAAACACATAGGTGCTCGAAAGAGTAATCAAGTACTGAACTACGATCAAAAGAGAGTTCAAACATACATGTCATGTATGAACTCTAAAGTTACAATATGCAAAGTAGTCCTTTGACCTGAGGCATCATAGATGTCTAATGGTTAGGTCCTTGATCTTTGATCATGTCAAACGGCATTCCATCGGAGTGTCCACGGCATTGTTGGGGTCAAGCTATCTAGTCATGTAGGCATATGAATGCACAACAAGGGATCTCTAACCTTCCATGATGGAGGGAGAATACTCTAAGATATGATTCTAAAGTCTTTGGCCAAAGCAAATGAATATGACTTAGGAAGTTTGTTCCAAATCATATTCAAGGGAATCATATAGGAAAGTATCACATTGGATAGTAGACATGAAACAAACTATCACTTAAACAATGTGATTAAGAGTATTGTATTAGAGAAGGACCGTATTGCATTGTAGTTGTAACTGGATAGGTTCTCCAACCAATTCTACTTAGCTTGGGTAACCATGACATACTGCTAGGTGTCACTCATGGTTTTGTGGAAGCCCAAATGATTAGGTAACACTAATCATTAAAGGGAGAATTGAAATGTGGTTTCAATTCACAAATCGATAGTTAAGAGTAACATCGCCCACTGCCTCGCTAATTGGAACCTAATGGATCGTACACCTAGTAAGGATGTATGTGAAGAAATTATATGAAATGGATAAGCAATTAAATGGTTTAATTGAAGAATGGTCAAGATTAATTAATTAGTTAATTAATTTTACGAAAGGTTCGTATTGGGCTTATATGTTGGTTTTGGGTTTCGGGGCCCAAAAGCGTTTTGGTCCAAAAGGCCCATTATGTTCAAGTTGTATGACAACTAAAACAAAATGGGCAAATAGCCCAATAACACCAAGGAGGGCCGGCCATTAGGGTGAATGGGCAAAGTTTGCTTTATTACAAGTTTGCCACTCACCAAAGAAAAGGTTATAAAAGCAACTTTATAGCTATTTTCTAATTAGGGTTTTTCTTGTTGAAATTGGGTGAAACATTTTCTCCATTTTCTTCTAAGGAGGCCGGCCACTAAGGGGAGGGACATCTAGCAATCTCTTCTTCCCTTAGTCATCCAATTCATCTTCACAAGATACAACCTTGGTGAAGAGACTTAGAGACATCAAGCTTTTGGTGTTTTGGAGAACAAATCCTTTTTCCTCAAATCATCAAAGGAGCACTAAAGGGAGGAAAACACAAGGAGGATTCAAGGAGCTTGGAGGTGACTTGAAGGCCCTCCACTTGGGTGAATCCCTTGTGTAATCAAGGATGAGCTTCAAGGGTAAAGAATCACTAAATTCTTCTTTCTCTTTAATGTTGTTAGAGAGTTTATTTTGGTTCACCATATACTAGGCTTTGAAAGTCATGGGTTTATGAATTGTTTTTGGATGCATGCCTACTTTAAAGTGTTA